ATATGATTTAGTCTTTTAGGGAAAGTGCAAAATTGTGATTTGAACAATAGCTTTGGTGGTTCTTATGAATTTATGAACATGATGGAATGGCAGGACAGGCAGTTTTCTCTAGGATCCACTTCCATGACAGGCTGAGTAGCCAGTGACGTTTACAGTGAATAGTGCTGGTATTACCCTCTTGGCATCATTTTTCTCATTGCCACCCCTGAGCAACCTCTCCCTCAGGTGAGGTGAGCGCTGCTGGCCACCACGCAGCTGTCAGCCTTCAGTGACCCTCCTAGGGGCCTCTTCAGGGGCCTCCGAAGCCAGGTCCTCCAATCTGTCGGACAGGCACCCCTGTGTTTGGGAACGCAGGCTCGCCCACCTCAGACTTTTTCTCTTCCCTCCTCAGCTACCACAACCAAACCCATTATTTCCCTCCATCCTCCATGGACCACTGTCTTCCAAGGGGAGAGAGTGACTCTGACTTGCAATGGGTTTCACTACTCACCACAGAAAACAAAATGGAAACATTCGTATCAGAGGAGAGAAACAGTAAGAGACATCCCAGGAGACACCCTCGAGGTTCATGAATCCGGAGAGTACAGATGCCAGGCCGGGAGGTCAACCCTAAGTAACCCTGTGCGCTTGGACTTTTCTTCAGGTGAGACAGAGTGAAAAAAATACAAACTTTAGACATCATTTCAGTTCCTTTTTTTCTCCAGCTGTTACCATCATTCACTCCAGACAACTCATGAGTGAACAATTTTAATCCACACTGTGGTTAGACAGACAAGGAGAGAGTTAAAAAGCCCTGTATACCACCAGATAGGGAATGGAATTAGCTTCTTAAGTGGGAACATAAAGTTTGAGAAGATTTAACTTATCCGGATAAAACTCATTCAGCCCAACGGGAAGTGATTTCAGGTAATGTATCTAGAAGGACACAATTATCATATATAATAGCTAAAGGTTATATGGAGAACCATACAAAGGCTGCGATGTCTACTTAGTGGAATAATGTCTCTAAACCTGTGGATATTGAAGTTTGATTTGAATCTGGAAACCTGAGCAGCTTTTTAATCATGCAGATACTCAGGGTCTACCCTGTGTTTACTGAATAAAAAACTGTAGGAGTAGGGCCTCAGAATTTGTAGTTTTTACAAGCTGCTCTGGCAAAAGAAAATTTGAGAAGCAATTTATTTGAATGGTTCATGAATTTATGTATAGTTTTAAGCCATACGATTTACTTAGAATATTAAGGAACAGGAACATATTTTTATATGTATAGATGTAGATAGATGATAGCTAGATGACGTAGATATTGAAATACAGAGGGAGAGAGAAAGAAAGAGGGATGTGGTTTTTGTCCAAAAACCACCTAGTTATAAAGCCCTTTAATTTAGTGAGTAGGGAAGCAGTGAAGTAGCAAGGAGCAAATAAAATGCTTATGCTCTTTGACACAATCCCCCTCTTAACAATTTACCTACTGAAACAATCATAGAAATATATACCCAAAATGGAGGGCCCTAAATGGTCAAGAAGAGAGGACTCATTAAATAAATTACATTTCTGACATTGAAGGAAAACTTAGCGGCCATTGAAAATCAGGTTCAGTAATAAAATTAATGACACGGGAAATTGTCCATAGCATAGTAAGTGAAAGGCAGGTTGTCAAATCTATAAATAGTATTCAAATTCCATGAAAAGAAAAAAATACACACAGACTCTCAAACACATGAACATGGAAAAGAAAACTGGAAACACATGTGCCAAAATACGGACGGTGGGATGATAGGTGATTTTTACCTACATTTCTGCTTTTCTACTTTTCTCAAGGCACATGTATTCATTTTAAAATCAGAAAAAAGAAATGATATTATTTTAAGAATGCTTTCTACCAACCCCTTTTTCTAGAAAATCTTAGAATAATAATGAAAAGTAAGGGAGAACAATGGGATGAACCAAGTAACTGGTCCTGTGTTTCCCATAGCTTCGCTGATCCTACAGGCTCCCCTTTCTGTGTATGAAGGAGACCTCGTGGTCCTGAGGTGCCGGTCAAAGGCAAGAGTAGCACTGTACACTATTTACAAGAATGGTGAAGCCCTGACATCCCTTGAAGGAACCTCTGACTTCTTTATTCGTGATGCACGTCTGAAGGACACTGGTGCGTATCACTGTACTGGATTTACAGAAGATCACTCCATTTCTTCCAACAAAGTCCAAATCCAAGTCCAAGGTAAAGGCTTCATTATTTTGCGAAGTGGGTTGGTCAAATGGAGGGTCCCTGGGGTCACGGAGTTAGAGTAGGAAGAAAGGGGCGGACTGGATTACCACTGAAACTCAGGGTGCATTCCTGCAAGGACCACAGGAGGTACAACAGTGCTTTGGGCTGAAGGTTGTTAAGGGTCAATGGCATCCCTGCCTGTGCCTGCTTTTGTGTGTTCTGCTTGCTGATGCTGAGGATGGAGTGTGTTTTTCTCCACAACAGTTCCCACCCTCATTGCTCTGGAACTGTTATGATTCTTCTCTCTAGATCTGTTTCCAACTCCCGTGCTCAGAGCCAGCCCCTCCCAGCCTCTGGAGGGAAGGTCCATGACCCTGAACTGTGAGACCCGGCTCCCTCCACAGAAGTCAAAGGTCCAGCTCCAGTTCTGCTTCTTCAGAGACAGGCAGGCCCTGGGATCAGGCTGGAGCAACTCCACAGAGCTCCATATCCCTGCAATGTGGACTGAAGATTCAGGGTCGTACTGGTGCCAGGCAGGAACCAAGAATCTCAGCATCATACGCAAGAGCTGGAGTTCCCAGATACACGTGCAGAGTGAGTGTCAGTGGGCTTTGAGATTTGCCAGGGATGGGGCTGGAAGAGCTGGGCGGATCTGCACATCAGCTTGGGGTACCAGTGTACATGAAAACAGCTTCCCATACCTGTGGGCTGTACGAGACAGGAGAACCCAGCTCTTGGGAACATGTAGAAGAGCTTAGAACCAGGAAAATACAAGAAAAGAGAGATGAGTTTATTTTTTCTTTCAGTGCCATTAGATATAACTCTCAGAAGGCTCTTTTCCCTGACACCATTTTTCCCCTGCTAGGCCCATAGCCATAAGTTGTGGGCTGCAGCAGAGCCCTCTGACTGGACTGGCTCCTGCTTGGCCAGATGGATAGCCTCCTAGTATCATAGGTGCCTGGAGCACAGTACTTAAGAACAAGAAAACCAAAAGACAGAAGCTTGCAGAACAAATCGTTCCAACTTGATGTCACTAGGGATGGCGTTGTACCCACTATTGCTTTTTCTGAAGTTTCTAAAATTTTGTGGGTCCTCAAGCATGACTTCTAACCAATGGCCAAATACTTTCCCTGATTAAATTTGGTCTGTTTCATAGGAAATGTCTTTGAGTGTTAGGAAGGGACACACAATCTGGGGTGCACATCTTCCTCAGTGAGGAGAGAGTGAAAGTGGGAGCATTCTCCAGAAATTTACTCCCATTCCTAGGCCAAAAAAAAAGCAAAAAATATTCTATGATTCTGTTTTTTCTAAACTGACTAAATTTTATTAATCTTATATTCTGCAGTTGCAGGTAACAGGTATTTCTTAGGTCACTGGTTTAAGGAAGGACAATTCAGAGAAGGTGGAGAGGGTGTTATCCAATAGTTGCAAAACAATAATTTCTAGCATAGGCCCTCCTTCAGCATAATTGATGAAACCCAACCTCAGGCCCTTCTCTCCCTCTGTTCAATTATCTCCTGCTGCTCTTTCAGACCTAATGATGACTCAGAAAGGCATTGTCCTAAGCCAACATCATTATGCAAAACCACACCCATCTGTGGCATAGGATGCTTTAATCACAGATTTTCCTGCTTAGTGGGACTGTCCTTGTTCCACCTCCTTTGACCATTTAACTGACAAGCTAGAGGGGTTAAGAATTTCCTGCTCAAGGGCAAGTTTTCTGCACATGCCAACAGTTCATTTCCAACTAGCCCTTGCAATCACTGTGGCCCCAGGACAATCACCTTTGATGCCCAGGCTCTCTGTTCCCATCATCACTCCCACCACTTTCCCCAGCTATTGGGCACTGGATGTCATCTCTGGAATCACTGGCCTTGCTCTATTGGGTGATGGGCAGACATGAAGGGAGGCTGGGCAGAGCTGCCTCTGCGCCTTGCCCCAGACACTCCACAAGACCATCAAGGAGTAGTGGGCCTCCCTACCACTTCCTCCCTCTTCCCAAGGACAGGCCAGTTCCACCCGGGCCCAACTTTCCATGTGAGATAAGCAGCTTTAGCCCGTCCCATCCTGTGACTCTTCTCCATCCATGAGCACCCCACTGCCAAGAGTCCCACATGTCATTTTTATCCATTTAGGAGTTTCTGCCAACCTGCAAATATACACTGTCCCAGCTTCCAAGTCGGTATTTGAAGGTCAGGATCTGGTGTTCATCTGCTCAATAGATAGAGTCACAAGGCCCATCACAGTTTCATGGTACCGAAGATTTAAAAACTGGGATGAGAAAATAAAGACTCCGATGTCCTCAGAATTCAAGATCTTCATGGTGAAAAGCAGCGATGCTGGAGAGTATTACTGTGCAGCTAACAACAGACACAGCTCCTTCGTCAGCAAACCAGTGACCATCGAGGTGAAAGGTGTGTTCTCTCAGTTATCACCTGAGGAATGGCTTATCACACTGCACACAGGTATCCCCAGTGAAGACCACAAGGCAGTTGGGTGGGAGTGGATACTGATAGTTACCAATGATCCAGTGCTCGGAAGAGCCTACCAAGAGCTAGTCAGAGTCTATCAGGAAGGAGTTAGGAACAGAAGGGGCAATGAACTATGGGAGCTTTTGGAAATGCTTAGAAATGGGGATTAAAAAAAATTCTCAGTGATTTGGCATATGTCCAGACTCTTCACATTTACAAATTTCTTCTCAGGTTAAGTGAAATTTCTCTTGGAAATAAAGCCAGAACAAATAGGACATCAGAACTGGGGCTGATCTAGGGCCGTGTTTCTTGACAAGCCCCTTTAATTTAAGGAATGCAGGGACCCTCCCTGACCACCCTGTTGTCTCTTTCAGCCCCAGTGACATATCCTTTTCTCACCTTCAGGGCTCTTAGTGCAGTGGTCCTCAACCTTTTTGGCACGAACGACCAGTTTCATGGAAGATTATTTTTCCATGGACAGGGGTTGGGGGGTTGGGGCCGAGCTCAGGCAGTGATGCGAGCGATGGGGAGCAGCTGTAAATACAGATGAAGCTTCACTCGCTCACCTCCTACTGTGCAACCCTCTGGCTCCTAAGTTTCATGAAAGACAATTCTTCCACAGACTGGGGGAGGTTGGAAGGGGGTGCAGCAGAGCTCTGCAGCCCAGTCCCTAACAGGACACGAACCAGTATCAGTCCACAGCCCAGGGGTTGGGGACCGCAGTCTTAGGACACAGCATACTGTGGAAAATGTAGTAAAACTTCACTGTGATACCAAGGGAGCTTCTCCCCTAATCCTGTATCAGTTTTATCACGAGGCTGAAATCCAAAAGACCCAGGGCCCCTGTAGAGGAGGAGCATCCCTCATCCTCTCTCTGCCCACAGAGAATTCTGGGAATGACTCCTGTGTCCAGACAATGGACTGGGACCCAGCCAGCAAAGAGAGGACACTCTCCAACAGAAGTGAGATAACTCTGACCACCAGAGGTCACAGCCACAGTCAGGTAGTGTGTTCCCCCACTCTCGAGACTCCATCTACAGAAACTCACAGGCTTTGGGCCCACGTGGCCTCATGACCAGCTCATTGCTTCTGCCTAGCAGTTCTGAACTCCTTTCTGTGACCACTCTCTCAGGAACTCAGGAGTCCCTTAGAATGAATCATTAATAGGAAAATACACAATCCAACCAAAACTACCCTCATGTAGCTATGAAAACTTTTCGGGGTCCAAATGCTGTGCAAATCAGTAATCTCTGGCCAAAGAGAAATTATAGAGCTCAGCATTACTTGGTTGGACAATACTCAGTTCTTAATTCTTCTGTCAATCAACAAAAGTCCACCAATTTCTGGATTTTGTCCTTTTTTCACTGGCACTCAACAAATCTTTGCTCTCTTGTCTGCTTCCTATTTCTTCCCCAGGCTATCTCAATGTCTCTGTTGGCTTCTAGCAATATAAGCAAGTGTCTATCTCTCCTGGGCTCATTCTTCTACCATCCAGATTTCATCACACTCCTGAATGTTTCTGAAGCATCTCTCTCTCCATCTTTCTATCTCTCTCCCCTTCCACCACGTCCCCACCACCCTCATCCCCAGCTTCTGTGGAACTCAATACTTTTAACTTTTCTCTCAATCTTCTGGATCCTCAGATGCCTGAGTTGCCAACCAACCTATTGTTCTCAATACCTCCCAAATCATTTCTCTTTCCCAGGGAAACAGAGGTATCTGTTATCCCAGTTAAACAGGCATTGACAATAACCAATGTGCAAATCCATGTACAATATAGAGTCAGGTAGCAACATCATAGTTACTCCAAAAATGTAACTCTAGAGGTGTAACATGTCGTAGCAACAGACGTAACTGTGAACCCCAGATGACATCACCTCCTTTACCAGTACACACCACCATGCTGCCCTCAAAGCTGTTACAACAGTAGTTATGGTAGTGAGGGGAAAACTGCTTCTATGGAGCTCTGTGTCATCCCCTCCATTCACAGCAAACTCCAGGTTCACTATTAAGGAGACAATGCGATTCATCATTGGACCAGGAGTCAGGAGACAGACCAGGTTCTGGCTGGCCTTGGAAACAGCCTGCACGGGCAAGTCTCCTAGCCTCCCCAACTCAATTTTCTCACCTGTAACTAGAGAGGATCAATCTGGGTAAAGGGAGAGGGGAGAAGCAGAGACGAGGGCCCTGGAAAATTATGTCAATCTGGAAGGAAAAAGCGTCAAAGGCAAAGCCCTGAGGTCCACCCAAGTGAAGGAAGAAATAGAGACAGGAACTGAGAAGAAGACTCAGAGTGACTTGGGCAGGCGAGGGACTGCTCTTCCACGGTTGCAGGGCAGAGGGAAACAGCAAGGAGCTGGTGTGGGTAAGGATGTGGGTCTGGTGGCAGCAAGATAAGGGATTTCTTCTTGAAAGCATCATCTCCTCTGCAAAAGGGAGCCAGGATAGGAGAAGAGACTAGAGATCTGGTAGGGGAGAAACAGGCTGGAAACAGCCAACATGAGGAACAGGAGAGAGCTGGTGAGAGAAGCCCAGGAGGTTGCTGGGCCACTCTGCGGGCCAGTGGACGCTGGAGACTGCGCATGTGCGTTGGCTATGCATTGAGACCTGCAGGAAGAGGCAGAAACAACTCTTGACCAATTTTTTCTCTCCCACAGTCCCCGTGTCTCGTCCTGTCCTCACCCTCAGGCCTGCTGGGGCCCTGGCTTTTGAGGGAACCACTGTGACACTTCACTGTGAAGCCAAGAAAGGTTCTCCACGCATCCTGTACCAGTTTTATCATGGGGATGTCCCCCTGGGGAGCAGCTTAACTCCCTCTGGAAGTGGAGTGTCCTTCAGCTTATCTCTGACCACACAGCATTCTGGAAACTACTATTGCACAGCTGACAATGGCCTCGGCCCCCAGCGCAGTGAGGCAGTGAGCCTCTCTGTCACTGGTAAGCCCTGGGCTCCTGCCAGCCACCCACCCCTGGCCCAGAGCCCTCTCTCACCCACCCCTTCAGAAGTCTGCATGTGTCTTTCAGTTTCCTACCCAAATCAAACGAATCCCTTCTTGGCCCGATTCTCAGGAAGCCAGCTAACCGTGAGCCTCAGTGATCATCCAGCCCTGGCTTGGCCAGACCCATAAGAAAACTCAGTAGACTCCTCAGCTTTTATTAATACCAAATTAATTTATTTTTTTTAAATTGTCTTCTCATGATTTGCATGTTCAGTCTCCACATGAATTTTTCTTAATTTGATGCACCGAAGCATCTCCTATTTCTCTATTAATGCTTACATATTAACTTGGCTACAAGCACAGACATATGGACAAATATTGAGCAAGACCTTAATTTCTCTAAAAATTTCCCAAGCAGTTCAAGCTCTCACAGCAGGAGGTTTGGAGATGGCTGATTTTGAACAGAAAGGAGGAAATGGCTCCCTGAGAACCAGCTCCTCAGTCTCTGGGGTTTGCATGATCCCTTGTCTTCTAATCCATTAAAATAAGTATTAGATTATTGCATTATGTTTTTTAAATCTTTGTTCGAAGTGACATACATTCAGGAAGCATGTACAAATCATAAATGTATAATTCATGGTTACTTGTGTCACCAGCAAAAAGGTGTTATTTTAGGAGCAAAACTGCATCTGTTTCACTCTTTAGTAGAGAGGGAAAGTTTAGTTTTCTTCTCGGAGAAGCAGAATGGTACGAGAGAAAAATCTTGAGCTTGGTGTGTCAGACATGCCCCCAATATAAATTGTTGGGTAAAGAGATTATTATTTTAAAAATATAAATGTTCTGAGATCTAGACTCTAAAGTCAGAGCCCAATCTATCTAGGAAAGCTCCCAGCCTTCATGCATCCTCTATCCCATTATTAGGTTTTATTTTCTTCTTATATTTAGCACATCTAAAACCTCTTTATTTCCTGTTTCTTGTCTGTCTCCTCAATGCCAATAGAATATAAGCTTCATGAGAACAGAATCTCACAAATCATGGTCTCCTAGTAGGTCCTTAGTCAGCATTTGTAATTCAGTGAACAGATGATAAGACAATAAGCAGGAATCCAAAAATTGATCTAGCAGAGCTCAGGAGAACAAACAAAGAAAACAACAAAGCTACTTTAGAAATGAAATCCAAATTTGAAGCAGTAAGAATAGAATGGATACCTCTGAAAACTGTTAACTAAATGAAGACTCAGTTTGAGAAAATAATACAGAATGAAAAGTACAAAGACACAGAAATAAAGGCAAAAAATTATAGTATGGAGATCAGACACTGGAGATCCCCATATGTAGATAATTAAACGTCTCTAAATCGGAAAACCAAACTGAAGAGAAAACAAAACTCAAAGGTGCAATTAAAAAAAAATTGTCCTAAAGCAAATAAAACTTGAATATGTAGCTCAGAAGATATATCTTGATGAGATTATTGAGCTTCAAGGTTAAAATATATACGTGTGTGTGTGTGATCATGGGGGGAAAAAGACAGTCATCTCAGAAAGAAAAAATATCAAGTTGGTCTTAGATTTTGCACAATAGTCGATACCCAAAGAGAGAGGAGTGGTGGCCAGACTTGGACTTCCAGGGAGAATGAGAACTGAGAATTTTATATCAAATCAAAAAGGTATTGTCAAAAATGCAGGGACTCAGGGAATTTAGTGCCCATTAACTGTTCTTTAAAAAATTGCTTAATGAATGGTACAAAAGCTTATGTAACCAAAACGTCTGTACCCCTGTAATATTCTGAAATTAAAAAGTGAATGACAAAATCCAGCTCACCTAGATGTGAACGAAAGCAAAGGACTCATAATGAGGAAACCGTGATATGAAAAGTGAGTACTGAATCTATGTAGGTTAGTGCTTCTCAACCCTGGTTGCACATTAGAATTACCTGGAAACTTTGTAAAATGACCTATTACCAGGCTCTTCTTTAGACCAATTAAATTCAGAATCTCTAAGATGCGGCCTCAGAATCAAAATTTTTAACATACCCTCAGGTGAGCATACGGTACAGACAGGGTTGAAGACCACTTATTTAGATATAGAAACAAAGGCTAATCAACTGTGAGAATCATAGTTACAGAACAAAAAGTAGCTATATAGACACTGAAAATGTAAAAAATATATGTAAGAAAAATCAGTTGGTCAAAAAGAGAAGAGGAAGTAAAAGAACAATTATTTTCTCATGATTATTATTATTTCACAGTGAATTGTGAATTATTTCACAATTCAAAAAATAATTGAGGCCAGGCGTGGTGGCTCACACCTGTAATCCTAGCACTCTGGGAGGCCGAGGCAGGAGGATTGTTTGAGCTCAGGAGTTCGAAACCAACCTGAGCAAGAGCGAGACCCCAACTCTACTAAAAATAGAAAGAAATTAATCGGACAACTAAAAATATATAGAAAAAATTCGCCGGGCATGGTGGCACATACCTGTAGTACCAGCTACTCAGGAGGCTGAGGCAGGAGGATCGCTTGAGCCCAGGATTTTGAGGTTGCTGTGAGCTAGGCTGACGCCACGGCACTCACTCTAGCCCGGGCAGAAGAGTAAGACTCTGTCTCAAAAAAAAAAAAAAAAAAAATTGACTTGACCGTCTTTAAAAATCAATGACATATTTCAAAAATTTCATTTTTTCAATCATTTCTGAGTACTTTATAAACAATAACTCATCATTCATGGTTTACACTTCACTAAAATTCCGTGAAAAACCAGCTAGTAGCCAGTAGGGTCACACAGGATAGAATGAGAGAATTGTTCAGGTAAAGCAACTGTAGATGTTAAGACTGGAAACAGAGACTAAATAATAAAAATAAACCTCTGTGCCGATGTGATCATAAGTGATCAGGGAGTGGGGAAACAGAAACCCCTGTATACCATTAGTGCAAGTGTAAATCGGTTCCATCTTTTTTTAATTGATGGATTGCAATTGTACATATTTATGGGGTACAATTTGATGTCTTGATACATATATGTTGTATAATGAGTAAATCATGGTATTTAGCATATTCACACCACCTCGTGTATTTATCATTTCTTTATGGTGAAACATTCAAAAGCGTCTCTTCTGTTTTGTAATATACTGTACATTACTGGTAACCATCAGCACCTACTGTGCAGTAGAGCACCAGAACTTACTCCCCCTGTCTAATTATAACTTTGTACCCATTGACCAACCTCTCCCCATCCTCTCTTCCCCCTCCTCCCCTCCCCAGTTTCTGCTAACCACTGTTCTACTCTCTGCTTTTATTAATATAATATCAATACACTTTGGGGTTTTGTGGGGTTTTGTTTTTGTTTTGTTTTTTAGATTCCATGCATGCATGAGATCATGCAGTACCTGCCTTTCTGTGCCTGGCTTATGTCACTTAACATTATTTCCTCCAAGTCCATCTATGTTCTTGCAAATGACAGGATTTCATTCTTTTTTACAGCCGAATAGTATTCCATTGTGTATATACAGCACATTTTCCTTATCCATTTCTCTGTTATTGGACACTTGGGTTGATTCCATAACTTGGCTGTTGTAAATCGTGCTGCAATGAACATGGAGTGCAGTTATCTCTTTGACACAGTGATTTCATTTCCTTTGACTATGGAATATACCCAGTAATGGAATTGCTGAATCTCATGGTAATTCCATTTATAACTTTTTTGAGGAATCCCCATAGTGTTCCCCATAGTGGCTATACTAATTTACAATCCCACCAACAGTGTGTAAGTGTTCCCCTTTCTCCACATCCTCACCAACATTTGTTCTCTTTTTGATAATAGCCATTCTAACTGGAGTGAGGTGGTATCTCTTTGTGGTTTTGATTTGCATTTCCCTGATGACCAGTGATGCTGAACGTTTTTCATGTACCTGTTGGCCATTCATATGTCTTTTTTTGAGAAATGTCTATTAAGGTCTTCTGCCCATTTTAAAATCAGATATTTGGGTTTTTGCTGTTAAGTTCTTTATATATTCTGGATATTAACCCCTTGTCAAATACATAGTTTGCAAATAGTTTCTCCCATTCTGTAGGTTTTCTGTTCACTTTGTTAATCATTTCCTCTACTGTGCAAAAGCTTTTCAGGTTGATGTAATCCCATTTGCCTATTTTTGCTTTTGTTGCCTGTGCTTTTGAGGTCTTGTTTTAAAAAGTCCAACCTTTTTGAAGAACAATTTGATATCACATATTATTATTTAAAATGTTCATATACTTCATCCCAAAATCTCCGCTTCTAAGAATTTATCTTAAGAAATGTACTCACAGGCTGGGCACAGTGGCTCATGCCTGTAATCCCAGCACTTTGCAAGGCCGAGGCAGGAGGATTGTTTGAAGCCAGGAGTTTGAGACCAGCCTGGGCAACATAGCAAGGTACCATCTCTAAAAAAAATAAAATGAAAAAAATTAGCCAGGAATAACACCACATGCTTGTAGCTCTAGCTACTTGGGAGGCTGAGGCAGGAGGATTGCCTGAGCCCAGGAGTTGTAGGTTACAGTGAGCTACGATCGTACCACTGCACTCCAGCCTGGGCAATAGAGCAAGACTCTGTCTCAATAAAAAAATAAAAAAGAATATTCAGGTAATATTTATCCAAAATTATAAACTAGTATATTTAAAAGAGTTGCATTTTGTGTATAAATTTTACCTCAATAAAGTTGATTTTTAATAGTTAATGATGTAGATCTCTAAGTAATATCGTAGAAAGATGCCCATAATATGTAGCTAAGGAGAAAAGCAGGTTGTAGAGCAGTCTGTATATCGTGATCCCATGCATGTGTGTGTTTTTAATGTATTTATTTATGTGTTGATATGAGTAAGTGTATTTATACGTAGAAAAGATCCAGAAAGTATTACCAAATACTTAAAAGAGATAATTTCTGGAAAATAAAAATAAAGAAAATGGTAAAATTTTTCACTTTTACTTTACGTAATTCCGTAAAGTTTGATTTTTTAAATAATGAGTTGTTTTTAATTTCAAAAATACTGGTGTCAATTAACTCTTCTCCTCCCTCAGTTCCAGTGTCTCGCCCTGTCCTCACTCTTAGGACTCCCCGGGCCTGGGCTGTGGTGGGGGACGTGGTGGAGCTTCTCTGTGAGGCCCCGAGAGGATCTCCGCCGATCTGGTACCAGTTTTATCACGAGGATGTCAGCCTGGGGAACAGCTCAGCCGCCTCTGGAGGGGGAGTGCCCTTCAACCTCTCTCTGACTGCAGAACATTCTGGACTCTACTTCTGTGAGGCCAACAATGGCCAGGGACCCCAGCGCAGTGACACAGTATTACTCAACGTTAACAGTAAGTTGACCCTTCCAACCAGCAGCACAAAAAGGAACAGACCATCTGCCCCACCTTTCCCAGTAACCAATATTGGAGCTACTGGAGTTTCCACAGAGCCATTTGTTTGCTGTGTGATATCATGTCAGTCCTGCTGCCTACACAGCATCTACCCGAGAGCTTTGGATTCTACATGCGCGGGAACTTGCACCTTCCCTTTGCTTGCTGTACCTTTCCTGCTAGCAATGGTCTGGAGCCCACTGGGACCAAAACTCCCCTAATGTAGAAGTAAAGGCTTTTCAAAGTACAAACTATATCCTGATCAACAGTGATCAGTAGGAAAGAAGTTATGAAGTTCCCTGTGTCTCGCCTCAGAAGATATTTAGTTATGGTTTTCTGTGTCAATCAATAAAAAGACTGACACATTCTGTTATCGGCTCACAAATTTCTCTCTAGCTTCTCCTGCCCCTATCCCAAAGCTGCTTGGGTTCCCACCCAAGACCCTTGTAAAGGACGTCTCACCATCATTCTCCTGACTTCCTACTTGCCCTGTTCCACTCAGCAGCGTCACTGCCCCCATCTGCCCCTGTTGTGGGCTCCTAGTGATGCCTGCTCTCAATGAAGCGATGTCCTCCTCTCAACCCCACACTCTGCCACTGTTTCATGGCTCTAATGTCCACAATACGACCCACTCAGCACCACCGTCTTCCTCTCCACATCAGTCACCCACTCACACTTGCATACATTATTCCATCTCTGAAATGACAATTTAAGCACCCATCATCTGACAGCCATCTCCCATCCTGCTACTTGCTTCAACTCTTCCTGTCACTAGTGCTCTCAGACCTCAATGGAAGGCCCAGTCCATTAGCAACTCTACTCCCTCCCTAATACATCAAACAATGATATCCTTCAAATTGAGTGTCTGGCTCTACATCCATCTAGCCACTCATCTCTCCTCTTCCTAAGATACGGAGGAGAGGACCACGCTCCCTACATCAGGTAAATGTCTCCATCTGCTCTCTAGGTTCCATCCTTCTGTGCGTTCCCAGAAACTTTATACAGCCAGTTATCACTTTCCTATGTTCCAGCATCTCCCTCTCTGTGGAATCCCTCCCACTGGCATTTAACCTGCTCCATCTCTCTCATATCTAAGAAAAACCATCTCTTGATCTCACTTATGTCTCCACCCACTGCTCCATCATGGCTAAACCTTCAAAAAGTGTTGGCTACCCAGGGTGTCTCCGTTTCCTCATTAACCACAAGGTTTCAATCTACTAGGGTCTTCTGACCTCTCCACAAAAATGGTTCTCTCGAAGGTCTCTGTTGACCTCCATGGCTTTAAAAGCAATTGTCATTATCCAATCCTCATCCTATTTGAGCTCTCAGATATATTCCATAGTGTTTACCATTTCTTCCTTCTTGAAACTCTCCTTTCCTGGGCTTCAGTGACTCTACCCTCTTCTTGTTCTCCCCATTCTCTGGCTACATCTTCTCAGTCTTCTTTACTGTCTTCTCCTTTTATGGACAACCTTTAAGCATTGGTGTGTTCCAGAGTTTTGACCTGTGTCCTCTTAGCTGTATACTTTCTCTGGATGATCCTGGATATGTCGTCTATAAATGGCCTTGTCATCTATACATAATGATTCCTAAACTTCTATCTCTAAAGGAGACCTCCTGCCTGAGCACCTACATATGCCATATCTCCACTCAAATATCTCAAAAGATCACCAATTGAACATCTCTAAACCTGAACTCCTGACATTCCCCTCAGAACTGTTCCTCTTCCAGGGTCCCTACCTCTGTGGAAGACACCTCGCTTTATCCAGATACACAAGGCAGAAACCCAGGAGTCTTCCTTGACATTTCTCTCCCTCACCCCTCAGAACCAGTTAATCAATAAGTCCTGTTGATTTTACTTCCTAAATATTTCTTAGATCTCTTTCTATTCCTGTTGCCACTGTCTAGTCAAATCCACCAACATTTCAACTACAGCAATGCCACTTAAATACCACTGTATTCCACTTCCGTTCCCCACAGTCCATTTTGCACACTGAGGTCAGAATCCTCTTCTGAAAGGACAAATATGATCACCTCACACCCTTGTGTAGACAGAGTTATAGACTTCCCATAGCTCAAGGAAGAAGGACCAAAGTCCCTGGCATGGCTTGTGAAGCCCTGCCTGGCTCCCAAGCCTCCTGGTTCATGGCACTCTTCAGACCCTTCCCTTAATGCCTCTGCCACCTACTTCAATCGCTCAAATGTACCAATCTTCTTCCCAGCTCAGGGTCTTTGCACGCAGAGCTTGCCTGATGTGCTCCCCATCTCCCTCTCCACCTGGTTCACTTCAAATGTCACTTTGTGAGGAAGCTTTTCCTGACTAACTCATTCTAGGTCAGGTCCCAGGATTATACATTTCATAGCACCCTGTCCTTTACTCTGTAGCAATTATCAATGTTTTAATTCTATATTTGCATTTTTGTGCAAAACTTGTATTTTTATTTAATGGCTGCCTATCTTCCTTCTAGATTGTAGGCTCCATGACAGCAGGGACTATGTCTCTCTCCCCCTTGAATCCCCAGCATATATTGCCATTCTTGGGACTTACTGATTGCTTGGTTAATTTTTAAAAACTTTTTGCTCAATTAATTTTTGATGAATGAATACAAAAATGAGCCAATAAATTGATCCACATTCATTCTCTTGTGGGCCCCATTTTTGGTGTAGCCCAGACTCAATTACATCCCTGGCTGTGTAAGCAATAGGTCTCTCCTGTTCCTCGTTTTCTGTTGAATTGATTTCTCCTTTTCCTCGATAGTCCTTAGATTTCTAAGATGCTTGAGTTTCATTTTAATCTTTGTTTCCAAATTCTTCAAACCCATTTGAGTCTGTTTATTCAAATACTCCAAACTGTTTATAGCACTGCACAAATGTTATTGTTTCTGGAGATCTGAAGCCATTATAGCTGAGATCTGAGTAATGTCACAGTTCATTAAAAACTGAGAAAAACATTTTCCCATTTGAAATAGCTGTAGAATGCAGGAATATATTTGAACAGAAGGAGCTGATGGTTAACTGTTTTGTCTCCCTCAGTTCCAGTGTCTCGTCCTGTCCTCACCCTCAGGGCTCCCCGGGCCCAGGCTGCGGTGGGAGACATGGTGGAGCTCCGCTGTGAGGCCACGAGAGGCTCTCCCCCAATCTCATACCAGTTTTATCAAGAGGATGCCACCCTGGGGAGAAGCTTGGCCCACTCTGGAGGAGGAGCGTCCTTCAACCTCTCTCTGACTGTAGAACATTCTGGAAACTACTCCTGTGAGGCTGACAACGGCCTGGGGGCCCAGCGCAGTGAGATGGTGACATTCAAAGTCATAGGTGAGTTGGCCCTGCCGCTGAGCAGCATGACTGAGCGCTAGCTGCCTGTGCCTTCTCTCCCCAGCCAACAGTGGCACGGCAGCGCTCCTCAGCCTGTTTCCTGGGGGGACGTCCCAGCACACTTCCTGCCCACAGAACCTCCGTGTGCAAGTCCGGGAGCCTCCCTGTGGTGCTGCTTCGGGAGCCTGGACTCTGCCAGCAGCACAGTACAAGCAGCCTTCTTGAATGTGATCAAAACTCCTCACTAAAAACGCAAATAAGACGTTTAAAACACGCCTATATTCTGAAGTTATGATATAAAAGAGAAAGCAAAGAATTTTGAGTGTGGGTTTCTCTGCCCCAAAAAAGATTAAGTCGTTTCTTATCCAGGTTCTTCTCTCACTGACTCCCAACAGGCCTCTACTCTTGAGCTTCTTTCATTACCAGGGATATGAATGTTCCTTACATTTCCACATTAAAAATCCTGTGTTAACACAAGCTATGTGCACAGCCTTTCAGGAGAGATCAGGGCACTAGGACAGAGAAGGGTGAGCAGGATGACAAGGAACGGAAAAGGCCATCCCACCAACCAAATCCTCCGTTCTCTAAGCTGTGCTTTGACCTCTTGCCATTAAGTGTAATAACCCAGGGAAAACTGCTTCTTGAGAGCTCTGAGTCTGTTTGGTGAAAGCCCCCTATAAGCCAAACCTCTCAACTGAGAGAGACTGAGAGAGACCTTGGATATAGCAAAAGTATGCTAAGGGCTGTTGAGATGAATGTTCTAGATTTGGCTTTGAAGATAACAGGCTGCATGACCTTGGCAAAGCATCTTTCCCTATATTGACCTCGATTTCCTCTCCCATAGAGTGGGAAAATTAGACTAGATGAAAATCACAGTCATCCCCTCCCCTAGAATTCTGTGATTGGTGGACAGGGAACATGGAGTATGCAGACTCAAAGGTTCCTGGGAGGAGATGTGCGAGGGCAAAGCTGGCTGTCCCTGCTCCTGGGATACACCTCAGAGGAACAGCAGACCATGCAATTGTGTGCAAACACCCTCTTAGTCACGTAAAGCAAAATATTGATGTAAATTGATACTCTTAGTACCTCCTGGCTGGGTCCCTGGGTGTCGTATGGAATAGAGACAAAGCCACATGAGCAGGTTGATCCAGGGATGCTAGCCCAGGATCCAGCATCTCATCAAGGTGGCCAATGCAGCCATCTCTTTGGCATCTAGGAGGTGACAACTTCAGATTTGGTTTTTCCCATTCAACCAGCTCTTTCTTCTTCCCCCATCGACAGCACCAGCCTCAGCCAATTTTCCTCTGAGATTTGCAGGGACTCTTGCCACACAGTTTATACACTTACTCCTTAGATACACCACACAGGCATGTACCTCAGAGAGAGTGCTCCTCCCTCCCTCTTCCCAACACAGTGAACCAGCACATCACGCCTGCTGTGCTCTGTGTTCACGACTTCATGATATCCTGCTCACCCCCACTCCCCTGTTTCTACAATTCCCCTGTGCAAATGCATGTTATTTCTGCTGCTGTTATCACAGCTAAGGGGCTTCATTCCCAGCCTGGATGAATTGTATCTGGGTCCTAGAACTAGGACACGGGTCATAGAGAGCAGAGACTGCCAGCAAAAGGAATATTTTTCATTATCATCATCACCAATATCATCATCAACAGTCACTGAGCCCTCACCATGTGCCAGGCCCTGTGCTTAGTGCTGGACATGCAATATCTCATTTAATCATTAAGAGAAACCTGTGAAGATAAAAATCTAACCACTTTTATGCCCAGTTTGCAGGAGAGGAAACTGAGGCTTAGAGAGGGGAAGTAACTACTAGCTCACAGACACAGCCAGCCATGTTGAAGCCAAGTTGAAACATGGCCCTATCCAACTGTTGACAGTAATCTATTATGACATCTCTTCGATCATCATGGCCTCGTTCCAATACAAGCTTTTAGTTTTTAATAATTTATTATTCTGAAAGAATACATAAATCTTCATGACAAAAATTCCAATGATACAAAAGGGCCAATATTGAAAAGTAAAGGTCTCTTTCTACCTGCTCCCACACACTTTCATATCCACATAGTTCCCAGTCCAGACATAACTACTGTTAACCTTTTCACGTGCATTCTAGAAATATTCTATAAAGACATAGAATTTTTTTACAAAACTACAATTGTATTGCACATATAGTTATGCAACTTGCATATTTTTATTTAAAATACATTATTTATTTTAAATACATACTTATTTAAAATACATCTTGACTTTAGTTTAAGAACTACATCTTGGATATCGTTTATTTTTCATTATCCAGCGTGCGAGATTGTCTCTAGCTTTTAGTTATTACAGAATTGCTGCAATAGAAATTCTTGTTCGGATATCTTGGCATATCATATCTTAATATCCCTAAAGGAGATGGTCCCAGAAGTAGATTTGCTGGTCAAAGTTTACGTGCATTTTTAATTTGGTAGATATTGCCAAATTGCCACTTGGGGAAGTGTCTTAAATTTGTATTCCCACCTCGGGCATGTCAAGGTGCCTGTTTATCCAGAAGCTCATCAGAAGTATTAGTCTATTTAAGCTTTGATAATTTAATGAAAGAGGAAAATAATAGTATTTTATGGTTGCTTTTATTTGTATGTATTTAATTAATAATGAAGATGAGAATCTTTTTATCTATTTATTGGCTATTTCAAGTTTTCAGTGATTTGTACACTTTCTACACTTTTGGATTTTTTTTACATTGAAAGCTATTTGTAGATCAAAGTAATTGGCTTTGTCTATCATATGTGTTTTGATCTATTTTCCACGATTGAGATCTGATAGTCCACATTTGTTTATAATCCTTTTTGTTTCTTACAAGTATGTTGAAAGCGGAAACTGTTATTGGCTTTTTGGTTCCCTCAGTTCCAGTGTCTCGCCCTGTCCTCACCCTCAGGGGTGCCAGGGCCCAGGCTGTGGTGGGGGACGTGGTGGAGCTTTGCTGTGAGGCCCTGGGAGGCTCTCCCCCAATCCTGTACCAGTTTTACCACGAAAACATCACCTTGGGGAACAGCTCAGCCCCCTCTGGAGGAGGAGTGTCCTTCAACCTCTCTCTGACTGCAGAACATTCTGGAAACTACTCCTGTGAGGCTGACAATGGCCTGGGGGCCCAGCGCAGTGAGATGCTGACACTCAGCTTCACATGTAAGTTTCTTATGCCCAGGCCACAAATATGGACAAACTATGTCCTGCAGGGACACTCCGATGATTGCCCAGGACTAGTACACAAAGCTGGCTATTGTATTCTAGGTTGTTATGTTCTGAAGTGTGTCTTAAATGTGGGTTCTAGGGCACGGTGTGGAGAGTACAGGCAGACAGCATCACTGAATTTCACTGAATTTAGAGCTCATCAGCTGGCTGCCTCTTCACCCCCTGGCCACCATCCACGCAGACCCTCGACCCCGGCCTCAGGCCAGAAATGACTTTCCTCACAAGGGCAGGAGCTATATCCTGTGCCACCCCAGCACCTGCTCAGCTGCAGGGATCCTGGTCACCTAGGTTCACCCTCTGTCCCAGGCCCAGGCGCCAGCTTCAGGGTCGGAGCAGGTCAAGACCATTAGCCCCTCTGTCTGGCTCATGCACGGGGTCTCCCCCTCAGGGCTGACCGAAAACAGAAGGGGTCCTGTGGCCACAGGCGTCACCGGGGGACTGCTCAGCATGATGGGCCTTGCTGCTGGGGCGCTGCTGGTCTACTGCTGGCTCTCAAGGAAAGCAGGTGGGTGACTCCCTGGCACACCTGTGCCTGTGTCCATGCCCCGCCCAGCTCCCATCCCTCTGTGACCACCCTTAGGCTCTCAAGAGCTCCTATCTCCCATCCCTCAGTCCTCCCCCTTCCCACAGGGTCCCCCAGAATCCCTTTTGCCAAATGCAAAGCTTCCGAAACAGCCCCTATAGTGTGGAAGATGCCTTGATGAGAGATAGTTTACCCAGCAACATGAACTGCAGAGTCTCTCCCTCCCTCCCCTTAAAAGACCCCCAAAAATGGGAAGAGGAGAATGATTCTGCAAACCAGAAGTGAAAACAGAAACCAAATAAGACTTAGTAACTTACTGATTTTTAAAATGTACACCATTTTTATAGCCGATCAAGTCTATTTTCCTGCCTGCAGCTCTCGATCATTGTCCTAACAAACTCCAGGCTAAAGGATTATGGATCGCGGGCTCCCCTTTTCTCACTACAACTATACCCCCAGGGTCAGCAGCTTTTCCCAATCTTTTACCTCCCTTGGGCATAGCAAAGAAGGGTTCAAACTTCAGTGACAGCAACTCCTGGAAGTTTCTAGGTGAGCCTCCTACAAGCTGTGCCCTGTGAAGTTCTCCTCTTCCTGAATCCAGTGCCCTCTGCTTTCCTTTGCAGGGGGAAAGCTCACCTCTGACCCCTCCAGGTAAGACCCAGGCTGTATTCCTCTGTGATTAATGAAATGCTCACAAGGTAGAAAAATGGAATTGGATCTGATTATTACCAAAAGCACAGTTTCTGCCAAGTGTTGCTGAGACGGATTGAACCCACTTGGTGCTGCTACCTCCCTAGAGATACCTCAAGACAATGTCTAGGATCTTCCCGCCCACCCCTTTAGCTGTATAGGCCTTCTTCTCCCATCAAGTGTAAATTGCCTTTCATTTATCAACTCACATCCTGGACCACTGTTGGCTTGGTTGTCTGAGTGACCACTATGACCACTGAATCTATCCATATCTTGAGATGATCTTCCTTAATCAGCTTGGAAATCTCTGGAGATGGCCAACCTAATCAACACCTGTTGTGATGATGACAGGAAGATGGGGCCACACAACCCGGCCACCCAGAGAGGCTGCTGTGCCAACAAAAGGTAGTCCTATGAAGAAGGGACCACCCTCTGGTATCCCATAAGGCTGACCTTAGGAGCCGCACCATGGCTCGCAAAGTATGCCTGGGCAAACCCGTGGCAGCAGGTATCCAAACCATCCAGAGTTCCTCTGAGCCTCTCTGGTTACTGACTTCTCTGAAACCCCAGTCTCTCTGAGAGTGGAGGCTCTGGAGCCAGGTTCGAACCTTGGCTCTTCCCCTTTCAGGTTACATGGTCTTGGTAAGTCACTTCATCTCATGGAAACTTCATTTTTCTCATCTATAAAATGGGGATAAAATAGAACTAATTTAATATTGTTACAAGCATTAGCAGAGTGCTTGTTACATACCAGGTGGCCATAAAGCCTAGAAGCATAGAAAATATGAATCTATCATGATACATAATATAATGCTCATAGACCATTTGCTATGCACTCGTCTATATTTCCAGGCGTGGCAGCCACCCTGTGGTAAGAACTCACTACCTGGGAGTAATCGTTACAGTCATTTTGTCAGGATTCCTAGGAAACATCAGTGTTTCTGTGTCTCACAGGAGCCCTTCAGACTTGGACCCCCAAGAGCCCACCTACTACAATGTACCGGCCTGGATAGAACTGCAGCCAGTGTATGGCAATGGTGAGGGCCCTGCGTCTGGGCGGGGGTCGCAGGGTTGGTGGGGCAGGAGATGAGGAGGGACTGTGCAGAGGCTGGAGGGCTCTGGTCCTGCCAGACAGCAAACTCTGGCTGGGGGAGGAAGAAGTAGTTCAGATAAGAGGCAAGAACCTCAGCATCCTCTGAAACTTCAACTTCTTTCTAAGTAAATCCTAGAGGAGGAGACGTGGTTTACTGCGAAGTACGGAGCATCCCGGAGAAAAACAGGCATGCAGGTAAGACCTGAGAGAGTCTCTCTTCTAGCCGACCCTCAACATAGCCTGTTGCTGGGTAGCTTAGTGCACACCCCTCTAGCAGGTCTGGGCCAACTGGACACAGAGCCACCCCTCACACCGGGTCATGGGGCTTCTTAACTTGTATCTGTGCTGCTCAGGGCGAATCCAAGCCCACCACGCAGTGCTGCTTTCTCCACTCTCTACAGACGATCTCGATGTAACCCGAGTAACAAAACCATCCCTTGGGCAGTCACTTAATCTCTCAGAGCCTCAGTGTCCCCATCTGTAAAATGAGACCAGACCATCGTTCCCTACTGTCTTAGGCAGGATGGGCTGCTATAGACTGGGTGGCTTACAGAACAAACATTTATTTCTCACAGTTCAGGGGGCTGGAAGTCCAAGACCAAGGTGCCAGCATGGTCAGGTTCTTGATGAGGGCTCTATTCCTGGTTTGCAGACAGATGCCTTCTTGCAGACAGACTCTCGCATGGCGGAGAAAGAGATTCATGTCTTGTCTTATAAGGATACTAATCTCATCATGACCTAATTACTTCCCAAGGGCCCCACCTCCAAATACCACCACATTGGGGATTGGGACTTTAACACATGAATTTGTAGAGGGACACAAATATTCAGTCCATAGCACTTACCTACCTGTATTAGTTTTCTATTGCCGCTGTGACAAATTACCGTAAACTTAGTGGGACCAAACAGTACAAGTTTGTTATCTTATAGCTCTGTAGGTCAGCATTTGACTTGAGTCTCACTGGGCTATGATCAAGGTGTTGGCCGGGCTGCGCTCCATTCTGGAGGTGTTGGGGGAATACATTCATGCCTTTTCTAGCTTCTAGAGGCCACCCACTCTCCTGGGCTCCTACCCTCTTCCTCCGTCTTCAAAGCCAGCAATGTCGCATCTCTCTAACCATTCTTGCATGGTCAGGGCTCCCTCTGACCTTTCACAGCTGGGAAAGCCCTCTGATTTTAAGGAGTCATGTGATTATACTGGGCCCATATGGATAATCCGGAATAATCTCCCCATCTCAGTATCTGCAATCTTAATCAAGTCTGAAAAGTCCTCTTTTCCATCTAAGGTGAACATATTCACAGGTTCCAGGGACTAGGGCATAGATATCTTTGGGGAGACATTATTCTGGCTACCACACTGTCTCATAGGATTACTGTGAGGAGTCAAAGAGAAAGTAGCTATGGAAATACTGTTGAAACAGCAGAGTGTTAAGCAGCGTGACAATGGCTACACGCTGGTAGTCTGGCTGTGTCATCAGCTCTCCCTCACAGCAGGTGGTTTGCAATGAGGGAATCCCAGCCTGGTTTCCTCCTACTAGGAGCAGGAAATGGGAGCAAGGTCCTTGGGGGCAGGCTCTTCTCACTTTGCTTCAGAAAAAGTGCTGTGTGATTTTAGCCAGTGTGCTTCCCTCTCTGGTTTTACAATTTCTCTTGTATAGAGTCAAGTAAATTGTGTTTGTGTCCCATTCTTGGTTCTATAGCACCCCTCTAAGACATGAACTCATTCACATTTACAACCCCCTTTGAGGTAAGCATATCCCCATTTTAAAGATGAGGAAACTGAGGCGTAGAGACCTTAAATGACTTGCCTGAAGTCACAGAGTTAGTAAATCACCCATCTGTCCAAGCTGTGGACCAAACTCTGCTTCTCAGTGTAATTCCAGGGAGCCTCAATGCTCATTCCAAGCCAGAAAGAGTGAGCCCTGTCTGGAGAATGTCATATTTCACTCTAGTTAGAAGGTAATACAATAGTAATATTCAATAACAACAACTTCTAATATCTATCATGTGTCAAGCCATTCTTATGTGCCAGGTACAGTTCTAAGTGCTATAAATAAATACACCATATTTAAATGCATAGCCCTTACAACAATACCTATTATACACATACATGCAGCTGTAGCATATCTACATGTCATCAATAGAGACAGAGAGAGAATTTATTTGTAGCACTCAGGACTGCACCTGGCACATAGAAACTGCTCAACACGTGGTAGATGATAGAAATTATACCTACACAAACATACACACACATGCATGCACATATATATGAACTCATATAACATTGCCATGACCCTGTAGGCATATATATTATTATTCCCATCATATAGATGAGGCTACCAAGGCAGGAGATGTTGAGTGACCTTCCCAAGGCCACACAGGTGACGAGGCAGAGCCAGGACTCAGTCTAGATCCGGAATCTGCTCTCTGAAACACATGCCAGCTCACACCGCCTCTCCCCAATATATAACGTAAATCTATGATCAAAGAACTAACAAGATAAAATGTAAATTTCTTTCTTTTGAGAGCTCCTAGGCAGCTCAGAGTGAGGAACCAAATGCAAAGTGATGTTGAGGAGAGGGATAGTCAGTGCTGAGGGGCAGGGGGTCCTAGGAAGGGAGTGGGACAGGGAGGACACGAGGAGTGGCTGCTTAACCCACAGAGCGGGGAGAGGGCCTCAAGGAGACGGGCTGGGCTGCGGCACAGGTGCAGGGAGGAAGCGCCGAGCGGGCCTTCCACGGCTGAGCACTGCCCTCTTTCCACAGCGGCCTCTGCACCCCGGCTTCCCAGTAACAAGGTGAGTCTGACAACCTGTGTGGCCTCCCCCGAGGGCCCGCGAGCCCTGGCCCTCACCCATGTGCTCTTGCCTCCTAGGACTCCTCTGTCATCTACTCCCAGGTGAAGGTGGCATCAACCCCAGCCTCCAGGACCCAGCTCTTGGCTCCCTCGGCTCCTCACAGATGAGCCCACATGACTCCCCAACTGCGGTCTCAGCCTCTGCACCCCAGAGGTCTCCTTGGGGACGAGGGAGCATTGAAGTGGCCTTCATGTCATGTGCCACACTCTCAGTCTGACCAGATCACAAGGCCCTGGCTGGACTCCTGCCTATTGCCGGGGTTATAGTCCTGCCCTGGCAGTTCTTTTTAATCTAATGACAAGCTGCTCCCAAGCCAGGGGCCATCGTGTCTCCTGCCTTCCTTAGTGGGCTTCAGCTTTGGTGGCTGTCTCGAGTCCTGCTCCCATGCACAGCCTCACTTTTCCTCGATGAGGACAGGGCTGCTCCTGAGCTCCAGCACGGAGGTCCTGCTCTCAGTGGTGCCATCAGCCTGGTGGGACTTATGGCGCTCTGCCAAGTGGGACAACACCCAACCCACAGACGCCAGGCGTGTTATGAGTCTCCCCACGGGAACCACATTTCACACCTCCTCCCACCTGTCTGGGACTCTGAGGTCAGCACCTGATGCCAGGTAACCTCTCCCTGCTCGTAGGCCCGTGTCTACCTGCCCAAGTAAGTGCATTTCACACCCAGGCCCCCGGCCCCTCCCACCCTGCCAGAAGCAGCCGGGCAAAGGCAAGGCCAGGAGGACCAGGTACGCAGATAGAACGCATATGCGAATACAGGAGGTGCTCAATTATGATTTGTCTGAATGAACAAACGAATGAATGCATAAGGAAGAGACTACAGGTGATCAAACTGACATCTGATCCAGCGTGCTCCCTGGGAAATCCGGAAGCTATTCTCTCTTCCCTGAGTCAGAAATAAATTAAGAGAAGGAGATCGGGTGACGAACACTCTGTTCGGCAAGAGGGAGGGCTCCCCAAACTTTAATGTGCTTATGGATCACCTGAGGGTCTTGTGAAGATGCAGATTCTGATTCGGAGTCTGGGTGGAGCCTGAGATTCACATTTCTCCCGAGCTCCCGGGTGATGCCGCTGGGCCCGGACGTGACTGAGTGCTGAGGCCCTCAAGGTCATAGGGCGGTGGAGCGGCGGTGTGTGCTCCGGCTGCCTGACTCCGTTCACGTGGACCGTGCCTGTCCCTGAGCCATCCTTCAGGCAGAGCGCCACCAGCTGCTGTTGCTGAGAAAACGTCTCGGCGACATGCTGGGTTTCAACAGCCGCCACCATCTTTGTTTCCCTCCCTCAGGCCTCACGCTTTCGCATGAAAAGAATGGATGAATACACCCCTTAGCCCTGTCCCTTCAAAGACTTCTCTCTCACCTCTGAGCCATGAGACGTTTTGTTCTACATTTATGAGGCCCATCACACCTTACCATGATCTCTGTCCTCAGTGGGTTTTATAGTGGGCTTCATTTCTAAACCCCGTTGGCCCTGAAATAAAACCCTTCCTAAGGTAGTCAAGGCCCCCTCCACCTGGCACCACCTCCCCAGCCTCTCCCTCTGTTGTTGCCCTCAAAACCCTACACCCCATCATGCTTGCTCTTCTCCATTCCCTAATGCAGCCTTTCTGCACTTCCTCCTCCCGGAAGGCTTTTCTTTAAGCCCCCACCAGCGTTAAACAGTGCTCCCACGGCACTTCTGCACAGCAAGACTCGGCATCACCATGGGTTAACGTCGTGAGGGAACTTAGAGTTTATTAGACCAACTGTCTAATTTTGTAATTGGGAATTGAGAACCACAGAGGAGAAGCAACTTGCTGAAAATGATACAATCAGCAGCACAGCCTGTCCTGAAGGCAATCCAGGACCTGACACCCAGGATGGTGTTCTTCCTCTGCATGGCTCCTCTGTTACAGAGGCGTATGCGTTTCTCCATTTCCCCAACAAGGGTGAGAGGCCCTTAAAAACCAAGCCCAAGTCCAATTTGTGTATATGCAGAGCCCAGCACAGTGCCTGGTGTATAGATGGTTGTCAGTAGATGGTTGTCAAATTGAATGTCAGTTAAGTTCCCTTGGTGAATACACATCACCTCCACAAACTCATCTTTACCTACTCACTCTCAATCCAGGGAAATTCAGTACATGTCCTCAGATCTCAAAGTTTTTTTAGGATACCAATAAAATAATTTCTACCAGGTCCACCTGTCAGTCCAAGGTGAATGTTATGTTTTGTTTAAAACCTGCATGACCTGCAGGTACATAAAACACAGAGAAAACCCAGTCATCTGTCCCCCACAAAACTTGCTCCCTACTGCGTTTTCTCTTTCCTTTCCTTTCCTTCCTTCCTTTCTTCCCTTCCTTTCTTCCTTCCCTCCATCCTTCCTTCCTTCCTTCCCTTCCTTCCTTCCTTCTCCTCTTTTTTAGTTGAAGGTACCACTCTCTCCCCAGTCACACCAGCCAGAAGAAGCACCGCCATCTCTGAGTCTCTGTATTGAACTGATCACCAAGTCCAATCCAGTCTACTTTTCATCCTAAATATCTCTTAAGTCCTGTCCTCCTTTCAGTCCCACTGCCACTGCCTCCGACTTCCCTGGCCACCTATCACCAGGACCCTTGCAGTAGCCCCATCCCTGGTGTCTCTACTTCCAGACTCTGTCTTCCCACAACCATTCCTGGCACTCGCTAACACAGTCTTCCTGAAACCCAACCCTGTTTTTTCCTCTGCTTGAAATCCTCCATTTTCCAGAGAGTCCAGACTCCACTGTGGGGCACGAAGCTGTTCATGGTTTGGCTCCAGCCTATGTTTTCAGCTCCATCTCCCATCACCTCCCCAACCCATAAGAACACATGCCATATGCTCCCACCACGCAAACTCCCTCCACCCCCTGCACGTACTTTTGAGCAGCCATGCCTTTGTACGTGCTGTCTTTTCCTAGCAGCCGTCCCCTTTTTGTCCTATCTGTTAAACTCACTTGTCCTCCAAGACCCAATTCCACTATCACCTCTCAGAGCAGCCTCTCTTTTCCCTCTGGGTTTCCATAACCTTCGCACGTGTGTTTCTCATAGCCCTTCTCTCCCTATAATTTAAGCCTCTCCGGGGTTGAGAGTTACAACTAGTTCTAGCTCATAATCTACTCTTCATCCTCACATCATCCCCGACACACAGCACAGGGCCTGCTCAATTCTTAGTGAATAAATGAACGTGTAACAGTGCTGAAACAGGACATTTCCTGTTTTCTCAGAATAACACCCATAGCCCAGAGCTGAGCCCACTGCAGACAGTACCTCCCTGCTCTGGAGAGGAGCTTCTAGACACATCCCGCAGAGTTGACTAAGTGGCCACGCCCACCCTTCTAAGCGTCCCTGCTCCTCACTCGCATGTGTCCCTTATCAGCTGAAGTCCAGAGTGCGTTAAGGGGATAATGGGGCGAGGGTGATCTGGTGAGGGGCGCGAACCTCCTCTCCTCACCCAGCCAGGGGAAGACAGGACTCCTAGATAATCGCTTAGAGAATGGAAGACGGTCTTTCACCACTTGGGGAGATTTGCTGAGCTCAGGAATTCACAGGACCCTCTCGGAGTACCTCCCACCCCACCCCACCCCCAGCCCTCAGCCCCAGCAAAGCCCAGGGAGAAAAGTTGTAGGAGATCTTGACAGGAGTGCCCTGGAGTTTGGGGACATTAGGGAGGAGCACATCCTCCCCCTCCTGTCACTCCTTCCCATGTGGAAGGAGCCGCATTGGGATAATACTCTTGGCCCCTCTCTGCCCTCGCCATCTCCTCCCCAGGGGAGCAAGAGCTACTCAGCTCCCCAGCGGGTTCAGAAGCAGAGCGTGGGCATGCATGGACTAGCCCCTTTATCTCCCTCTCTCTTGGCCAAGAGCAGCCCTCACAAGCTTGTGTTCTCCTCTGCCCTAAGTTGTAAAAGGACCTGCCTCTACAGAAGGGTGCCTGCAGTTTCAGAGACATAACACCAACCTCAGTATCTGCACATGAGGCTTTAAATTTTGAGAAATAGAATAGAGGTAAATTCAGGGGAGCATAGTGCACAGCAAGGCTGGGGGCTTCTGCCACCACTAGGGCAGATGGCTTTACGATTTGGTGGTACTTGCCTGGCATAGGCCTGGTGGGTTTTTACCATCGCTGTTTACAGCAATGTATTAAGAGCCATCAGTTTGGAGCTGAGTTGGCTTTCAGCTACTGAATCTGGGAGAGAAGCTCTAAGTCAGTCTGCAGTGTTTTGTGGCAGGTTGCTAGAGCTTGGACAAGGCTCTGTCCCATGGCTATAGCACCGGGAATGCACGCACTGACCATTAAGTAGAGTTGAGCAGGTGTGCTGGACTCTTCAGGCTGGAGTGGCTGTAGCCATGGCTTGCACTGTTCCCGTGGTTGTAGATTCAGACTGCTGTGTCTGCCAGTCAAGGGTTCCAGTTCCCCCTGGCATTTAGGGGCATGACCTCCCAGTACCTCCCTCATGCAAACCATGCACCTTCTGCCTCCACCCTGGGAATCCCCAATGGGCTGAGGTATAGATGTGCAGGGAAGTTGACCTTGACAATGAGATATTGGAGCCAGTGCATAAACTTTTCTCCCTCTCTCCTCCCCCTGCACAAGCACACTGTTCAGAGATGCAAAAGTTCGATATGAGGACATCCTGAGAGACCAAGCAATCAACTTGTTGCAAAGGTGTGGCCAAGCTGGGAACACATCCTATATGTGTTCTCCTTCCTCCCCGCCTCTCTCCCAATCTCTGTCATTCCTGCTTCCTGGGATTAGATTCATTCATCATGTGTTAGCACATGACCTCTGCTGCAGGCTATTTTCTAGGGAACCAGAGCCAAGACAGCAGGTTCCACAGGCCTCAAGCCACTGACAGTTTTGGCCAAATGGCAGTCATGTGGGGCCGAGCAGTCAGACACCAGGCACGCGGCCTCAGCAAGGCAAAGTGCCAAGGGCCTTGGCCAGTGGGAGAGGGCGGTGAGGGCCTCTGCAAGGCCAGGAGCCTTGAAAAGGTGCCCACTTTTCCGTGAACAGATGTAGCTTTCCCGAACAGCTGTGGCTGTAGCAAAGATTCAACCATAAAAAAAGAATCTTTTCATTAAAGCCTTTGACATGTTGGAAGCAAGA